ACCAATGCATCCAGAATAATCTATCATTACTATGAGTAAATGTATAGCCTTATAGCAAATCTCTGTATCTGTACTCGTTTGACACTTGTGAAATTATCTGAAGAAATGGAATACTCTCCATAACTTTCACTTCTCCATGCTTCATTCTAAATTATTTCAGTTAAAAAAATAAGTGTATCGCTAATTCATAATCATATTCTTTCTATCATATCTTCTGGAAAGCTGCAATGAATCCAAAAATACAAACATTTAATTGATTTCAAAGGGGCTAAATGACAACCATAATCAGCTGAAAGGGATTCTTAATTGACTTCACAGCAGCAACTGGCTTATGTGACTGGAAACATCTTAACGTTTGTTTAACAGAGTCAGTCAACTTAATGTTTGGCATTGTTCAGGTGCAATATTAAAGTTATTAAAATGTATATGTACACAAGTATAACATATAGGTTATATATATAGAAAAACCTCTATGGAGAAAGATGAAAAGGATCCCCTAGATCAAAGAATGTTTATCGTTTTGCTATTGCTGCCAGTGGAGTTGAAAACCTTACATTCTACTAGAAAATACCTTCTAAGCCATCTAGGTTTTCCAATAATACTTTGCCTCTCAGATATAGTTTAAGAAATTGCAAAATATTCCTAATATTAAGTCTTTCATGTCAAATAAAAATGTATTCTTATGATAAATGCAATTTGCACACACAAGTATTGTACATTAATTATTTTTCAAAACATCTTAAATTTAGGTCCTATCAAAGTGGATATAAGGCTACCAAATTACTGTACTGAAATTTTACAGTACCCGCTGGCATCAGTCCTTCTCGGTCCTGGAGTGCAGCAAAAGAAAAAGCTAACTTTCTTCTTCCCAGGAAGCTTGGGTGTTTGAGAGCTTCCCTCACCCCAACCCATCTTTATATATCAACCACTCGCCCTAGGGCAATGGGTTTCCACGGGGTCTGCTCATTAGAATCACCTGAGTTCTTTTTGCAACGTGCTTAGGCCCAGTGCCAGACCAATCCAATTGGCATCTGAGCATGGGGCCCAGATACTTTTTCAAAGCTACCACAGGGATTTTAACCTGCAGCCAGATTGAAAAACACTGCTCTAAGCAGTGTTTTTTGAATACCCTGGGAATATTTGGCAGGATCTGGAGACATTTTTCATCAGTTACAACTGGGGGTAGCTCATGGGTAGAGCCCAGGATGCTGCTACACCTTCTAAAACACACAAGACAACCCCCTCACAACAAAGAATTATGTGGTCCCAAATTTAAATAGTGCTGCTGCTGAGAAATCCTGATCTAGAGAAAAAGCTGGTGGGAGAAACAGCCCGCTCTTTGTATATCCAGAGATTCTCTCACAAAAGAAGAAAAAAAGCAGTAAGAAGCTTTCAGGAGGAAGACTTACAACCCTGACACTCCATCTGGCAAGGCCAAATGTAATTCTAAATGGACCTTGTCTAACACAAGTGAATAATTTTCTCATGTGTATTCTCATTGGCTAGGGTGATGCTGAAGGAGGGCGTGAAGCTATTGTTCACCGGAACATGCTCTAAAATGTCAAATGAAGTATAATTAAGCAATGTTTTTAGAAGAAGGAAGATAATAAAATAAGGAGTAATGTTTCTTCTTCTATTTATTTCTTCTCAGATGCTGATAGCCAGAAATATGCCCCTCTAGAATTAAAATAAAACTATTTTTATTATTTTTTCAAGAGATTCATAATGTCCCATGAGTGGACTATCCGTAAGGGCCTGATGATCAGACTCATCTTTGTCTGGAAAGTTAACAATAAAATAGAGCTATTATTGCTAGACGAATGACATCCATGACCTGGGCTAAAAAGTTATCTTTTAAAAAGCAAAGAGCTGCCAGCTGATATCTGGAAGCAAAAACCCCTTGGTCTCATTTTCACCTAAAAAAATTCAGTCCACCCTTGGATTTCAATGGAATCAGGTAAATGAAACCCCCAAATCAAGGAAGCTATCATTTTTGTACATTTATAGCTAAAAGTGGCTATTCAATTACTTAATTTACAAATCTGGAATACAGCAAGTAACTTGAACGAACATACAAATGCCTTAATGTCTAGATGTGATAAGTGTTGGATCAACTTCCTCTCTGCAAATGGAACTCTCTACAAATTGAAAATACTTGAATAATAACTTCTAAAGAGTAAATGCATTCACAAGCATTCTGTTCAATTTAGAGGTTTTTTTCTGTTTGTTTTGTCTTTGTTTTGTTGTTTTTTTAATCAACTACTAATTTTAAAATGGCTAGATAGCCTTAGATATTTTTAAGAGAAGAAAAATACCTAAAATTCAGCTTTGCATCCAGTTGAAAATTAAGCCAACTGTTCTAACCAAAGGAAAACTCATGGAGGTCAAGTTCATCAACTACTTTCTCCACTGAGTTTGTAATTGAAAGCACAAGATTTAAAGATGCCCAAGGCACAGTCAACTAAAACAGTAATTGTTTTCACTGATGTTTCTTCAGTGTGTACATGCGTGTCTTATTTGGATATCCTTATAAGTAGGACAATATCCCACCGTCTCGGTTTCATTTTACCATAATGCAGACACATTTCCCACTTGCTCTCATCTGCTCTTTGTTCATACATGCAAGTACTCATCCAAAACACTCATATCTCACACCAACTCCAAGCAGAATGACTCTGTAAATGACTCAGCAAATCTGCAATTTGAGATTAACCTTTCTACTGGTTCCTCTCCATTTACAAGCCAAGGATTCAGCATGAGGATTTACAACTATAAAAGATCATGTCTTACCATTCATATCAAAAATTAATTTGTAACGGCAGGATAAATACAAGCTACCAGTGCCCAAGTTTATCAGCTGATGATTCATAAACATCTCGTTGTGGCACTTCATTTTCCCATTAATTACTGAAATAAAAATGCAATGCAAATGTACTACAAATATGTTTTGGTGATCAACTGTCAACATTTGTCACTCAAGAATAAGAAGAGTAAACATAAACATTAAATAGAGTGGTATTCTAAATAACACATCTTACAACATCAAATTTTTTAATGAAATTGTTAAATTTTAAAAAAACATCTGCTTTACCCACTAGTTTGTCTGGATCCAAGAAATGTCATATCATCCTTAACTAGAGACATACCTTACTTTATGCCAAGCATTACTTAAATGTTGCACCTAAAATATTCTCTTTAAGTTAAATCCTACATTGATTAAATGAGTTCTTTATTTTAAAAAGATCTTTTATGAAGAGAATTATTTTGTAAACAAACTACCTGTCCCTGTCTTTTTTTTTCCTTGGTTCAAGATACCTTTCAAAGTTTCCTTAAAACAGTGCACACATAATTCTCATGCTCATTAAAAAGTAATCAAAAAAAGAAGTCATTATCTTTGCCTTCCTGTTAACCCATTACCTCCTGAAGACAAGCTTCATGGCAGTGACCCATCACATGAGAGTAACACAACCAAAATATCTTTTTAAATGACTTTTATCTCCCTTGAGAACTGAGCAGCCAAAGCTGCCCACAGCAATCAGGGTAGCATCTCTTCCTCTCCTGGAAAGACTGAGAGAAGGTGCAATGAACCTGGTAAAAGCACCGGCCAGCAGGCCTCAATGAAAGGGTGAATTGGCCTCTCCCAGCATTCATGTCCCAACACAAACAACCAAGAAAGCGGCAGCTTCCTATCTTTCTCATCCTTTCCAGTTCCATTTGCACTTTAAAGAACATTGGATGCATTAGAAGCCAAGCTTCAGGAGTCAATTTTCAGCACTATACGAAAAGGATTAGGATGAAATGGAATCCAACAGGTAAATCTCCAAGTACAATATTGAAAATTTACCCTGTTGTGTCACTGCTAAAATTGGAAGCACCACTGCTCAGAGCTGACTCCACAAATATATACTCTGGAACAGCTTTTAAATAAAGCAAAAACCTCAGATATTTTGAATGCAAAACCCCACAGTCTATAAAACCAATCGTTTTAGTCCCAATTCAACCATAGGTAACAAAAAAGGACTGTGAGGGGTTTTGTGTTTGCTTTTTAAATAAATGATTTTTTTTTTTTTAATCTGGAGTTCAAAATAGTTTCAGAACCACGATGCAGGAAATTAAACCTCTTCCAAAAGGTTGAAAAGCTCAGGTTTAGAGCCACCTCAGCAAATGCAGCAGATGTTATTATGCTTTAGAAACCAAAAAAGTGTCCAAACACATCTGTATATTTTAAAGAGGAACATTCAAGCAACCAGAAAAGATGCCTCCTTTAATGTAAAAGAGCACGCATTTCAGAATGTTTCATGAAGTTTGGTGGGAGGGTTGTTGGGTGGGTTTTGAGTGAGTAGAGAAGGGAATCATTCGATGCATTTTAAATGCAAAGTACAGTCACAGATTCATACTAAGGCCTCCAACATCATGAAAAAAAATCTTCAAGGTCAAGTAAAGCATATTTATAGGCATTCAGACAACCCAGCATCAAACTTATTTAGGGACACCATGTCTCTTGTTTAACAATGTTATTGTTTTCATAATAACTATTCATTTCTTCCTGAACATAAACTATTAACTGGATTCAAAAACCTTTTGGTCACCTGTTCTACACGTGAGCCCCAGAAGGAAAATGCACACACAAGGAGAATACTCAAGTTCAAAACGGTAGAAACCTTAGACTGGTTCTGTTTTTACCTACAATGCCCACAAATCTCACCCTGACCACTTTGGGTCTCACGGAATTATTGTTCCTCCCTCTCTCCTAACCCCTCATCCCTAATTCCTCATCCCTAATCCTCTCCAAGCTTATTTGCCGATAACTGCATAAACTAAAACAGATCGAGGAGAAGAAACACACATCAGGATTTGGGCGCAAATGTTTGCTCCTCCCTCAACCCACCCCCTAGCCAGAGAGCCTACACTTTCTAATATGTCTGGAACTCCCTTCGCCACTGAGAACTCTCTATTGAGTTGCCCCAGCCAAGGCAGTTCCCCAGCACGTACTGACCCACCGTTCATGCCACTGTAGACGTTCCGGTGATGGGGTGACACTTCCTCTTGCGCCTGCCTTCGGAGGGTACCCTCTCTGCTGCCACCGCCGCTGCCTCCGCCTCCTCCGCCCACGTGTTTGTGATCAGGGCTTCCCCCAAAATGCTGTTTGAGGTGTTCGGGGCTGGTGCCCCTTGCTCTGGGTAGATGCTCCAGGCTCCCACCGAGGGCGTGTTTCTGAAGATGCTCAGGGCTCCCTCCGCTGTGCCTGGCGTGCTCAGGGCTGCCCCCAGGCCTGTGCTTCTGGAAGTGTTCCGGGCTCCCGCTCAGCACGTGCTTGGGCAGTGTTTCGGGGCTGCTCCCTGGGTGGGGGTGCCTTTGCTGTTCAGGGCTGCCCTTGCACAAGGGTTTGTGGTGCTCAGGGCTGGGTCCTTTGAGTGCTTTGGGGTGATCTGGGGTGCCGGAGGCCCTGGGTTTCTGTAGATGCTCTGGGCTGGTGCTCCTGTGCTTGGCGTGCTCCGGGCTGCCCTCTGCCCGGGGCTTCTGCAGGTGCTCGGGGCTAACACTGCTCGCATGGTGCTTGTGGTGGTCGGGGCTGTCGGTGCTACCCGTGCTGGAGGTGCTGCTGCCGTCGCCCACATCCCGCACGTACGGCGCCGTGGAGGCGGTGAGCTGGCACAGGCTGGCCTGGCTGTCGATGGAGCAGCGGCTGCCCGCGCAGCCGGCACCTTTCTCTTCGTCCAGCAGCACGCAGAGCTCTTTGAGCTCCATGTTCTCCTTCACCACCTCCTCCTGCTTCACCTCCAGCTCCTTCAGCTTCTGCAGGTATAAGGCCACTTCTTTGTGCATTACCCCAGCCGTGAAGCGGCCCAGTCTCTGCCACTCCCGGGACACCCTCTTGCCTTTCTGCCGGTCGTCGTCCAGGAAACAGCAGAGGTCTCTCAGTTCCTGGTTGTCCTCCTGGAGTTTCTGGTTGATATCCTGAAAAAAGAGATACAGCCAATCAAGAGAGGTACACAACACACATGAGGGTTCATCAAGCTTAGACTTCCCCAGAGTGAGGGAGCCTAGATTTGGTGAATTCTCTGTAATGGTTAGGGAAGGAGGTGAGGGGAAGCTTCAGGTTTGTAGCTTTCCATAAAAATAAAAATAATAGGTATTGGTTATGCTCCCTACCTAATGCTTTACATGTATTATTTCAACTAATGTTCACCAAAACACTTAGAGGATAATGACTATTACAGTTCTTTTACAGAAAACAGGACTTCACAAAGCTTCTCTTGTCCAAGGTCATCCAGTCAGTATTTAGGGAGTAACCTGTTAATTAACAGGAAATCATTAAAAAACAGGCTCCCCTGTCCCACATTCAAGGAAGAAAGATGGCTGCTTGTGACTTGTGAAATGCTTAAAAGCTCTGAAGCAACAGAACTTCCATCAGCACAAACAAACACCGCCTAGGTTTTGGGTTCATGACATGAGATGAGCAGCCTCAGTTCCCCTACAAGGGAACAGCACAACTGCCCTCTCCTGGCATTTCAGTCCTGCACCTCCAATCCCCACTTACCACATCCCCCACACATCTCCCAGGCATCTCACACACAACACAAGCAATGCTGAGCTTGGATGATATTCAAACTCCACTCTCCGAAATGCACCTCCCAGCAATTGCCACCTCCGCCCACCCCGCTGCTCTTTATAAGAACCTGTAGTTACTCCTTTCACTTTCAAGCCAAACAAGTCTTCTGACTCTACCTCTTGAATTTATCTCATCTCCTCATTCTCATGTTTAAAAATCTTAATAGCTTCTCAATGCCCTTAGGATAAGGTGCAAAATTTATCAAGCCTCACAAAGCCCCCACCCCTCTGCCCAGCCTACTTCCCTAGCATAAATGGTGAGTCACTGGTTCATCCGCAAATATTTAGTAAGCATCTATTATGTGTCAGGTACCAGTCTAGATGCTAGGGATGTATCAGTGGACACAGCAAAGACCCTGCCATCCTACGGCTTTTATTCTGGTAGGAAAGACTGGCAAAAGGCAAGTATAGAACATGATGTCATGTGCTGAAAGGTGCTGAAAGAAAACTAAAGCAATTTTAATGAATACTATTTTTTAAGAGAAGACACTTCTGCTGAGAAGAGGAAAACATGTGAGCAAAGACCCAGGTGATATTAAGGAACAAACAGTTAAGGGAAGATGATCCCAGGCAGAGAGAAGGGCAAGTATAAAAGCTCTGAGACAAATGTGGCTCAAGTTGCAGGGAGGCCAGAGCGCTGAAAGCGAGGAGGGCGGAGCTGGGAAAGGAGGTCTGAGAGGTGTCAGGGGCCAGGTAACACAGGGCCTTGTCAGCCATGGGAAGGACCTGGATTGTTGGAGGGCTGAGGATAGAAGAGTGATATTATTCGCTTTGTAAAGAATTACCATAATTCCGTGTGAAAAAATAACCTGGCTGGGGAGGTGGGGAGAGTGGGATAATGGACAGAAGGGAGTGAAGTGGGATAAAGCGGAAGCCTGGAGACCAGCTAGCAGGCTACTAGGCTAGTCCAGGCTGAGGGAGATGATGGTGGCTTGGATACATGGAGGCAGAGGAGAGAGCAAGAACATCCCCTTCTCATCACGTACGGAGCCCACAAACACGGGCCTTGTTTCAGGGCCTTAAGGGACAAGCCTTTCCCCTCTTTTACTCAGAATGCTTTCCCTCAATGCCTCTACACAACCTTCGGGTCTCAATTTATGTTACTTCCCCCACAGAAGCCATCCCTGATCATGACCCCCAATCTACAGAAAGTCTCTGTCGGTGCTCTACCTTACCCCTTAAGACTTCTTTCGTGTTGCACTTATTACAATCTGTAATCACATATGGTTGAGTGGCATATGGCTGAGTGTGGCTATTACTCATATCTCCATCTTCAACAGACTAGAATCATGAGAATGGAGATCCCCCTCCACTGTCTACTCTGTTCACCTCTATGTATCCAGAACACTGCACCCCCACTGTAGATACCTGAAACCAAGGAGTTTTAAAATCAATTGTGAAGTCCCCATTTATTCTCCATTCATACATATAGTAAAAGGAGTAACTGATTCCTGAAGCACCGTGGTTTGGTGGGGGTGAAGTGGGGAAGGCCATCTAAGATCTTCCCTGCTCTACAAAGCTGGAAAACCTCTGGTCTTGTGCCTCCATCATCCAATCCAGAATTAGAGGTACTCAGAGAGCAAACTTAATTCTCTTAAACTCAGATTGATTCCAACACTTCTCCTGCTACTGACCAGAAAATAAACTAGAAAACATCTGCCAACCAAGCCCTGCACTTCCTGACAGTTATGAAACCTAAGATGGGAGTGATGTTCAAGGCCTGAGGAAGAAGAGGGTCTGTGCGGCTTAGTGTTCAACTCAAATTCTAACTCTCGACATTACCAGCAACTGTTTCCTTGTCTCTAATGCCTATCTATTCCTTCTGCTTTTCATTGCCACTTTCTGCCCTCAGGCCCGGCATTTCCAAAAGCTTCTTACCTGGCCTCTCTTCTTTGGTCTGTCTGCCCCCGCCCCTTGGCCTGCCCTATTCCCTCACCACTCCAATCCAAGCTCTCTTTGGCCAGACTGATTTCTAAAAACACTACCTGCATGTATGTCTCTCGTGCATATCAACTCCCATCATCTCTGCTTTTCCAGGAAAAATAAATAAATCCTTTGGCCAGGCCCGAAAGGCTTTCTCCTGCCTTTCCGCCTTTAGCTCCCTCTGTGTCAGCTAATTTTAAACCCTGATTTTGTCTAGCCTTTTCACCTAGAAAATACTATCTTCTTCACTACACAAACTTATAAGAAGAGAGATTCCTCTGAGAAGACTCCGCCCAACTCTAGAATGGCACCTGGCATACAGCAGTACCAGGTATGAATGAATGAATGAACTTTCCCACTCACTGCTTGAAGCCTGTAAGACATACTAGCTAGAGCACTCATTGGGCATCATTTTTATTTCTTTCCTAATGCAGATATCTTAGCTTCTGGAAGGCAGAGTCTACCCCAACATCTCTCTTTACCTATTTGACACACCTGGCATGGTACCTTGCATAGAGTGAACACTTAATATGTGTTTGTGGACTGACCAACCCTTTAAATCCCTAGCTAGGCCTGCGGTCAAAACAGGATACAGCTCTAGCTACTGAGAAAAGATTTCTTATTATTGTTTTCAGCAAGCCCCTGCTATGTTTGTGTCTACAGTAATAGGAGAATAAATTATCCCTTAACACTGATGCCTTAGGGGAAATCAGAAGCTGTGGATATTCTGAGAAAATAATACTAAACAAAATTAATCTTTCTAAGCTTCAGAACTTATTCCACATTTAGTTTAATTTTGGCATTTCATAGAAAGTTCAAGTCATGTTCTTCTTACTATTCCTGATTTCTCCAGAACTGGGAAGTAAACAGGTCTTATGCTACAGTGGGCCTCAAGAAGTTAAGGCACTTTCAAAATGGAGTGAAACATATACTTCTAGAAATTCCAGTTGGAGCAAAAAGGGTTGGCTATTAGCCCATTCATTTTTCTTTATCATAGTTTCTTCCTCCTATTATTAATTTGCTTGGGAATATTATTTACTCTCCAATTTTTAAGCTATTTCCTTTGCCTTCTGACAAACAGCTAAGCATCCAGCTTAATAATAACCTTGGGAGCCAGCTTCTTCAAATCTGCCACATTAAGATTTGGGCTTTCTTTTTCAAAACGCTAAGTGTCCTTTTAACATTGCCACAGGCCACCGGATGTTAGTCCTCTGTCTAAAGTGGACTTTTAAAGGATTAAACCCACTTGATAGCATATCATCCAAAATTTTATTCATAGGACTCTCAAGTATTGTATCTGTGATTAAAGGATTGTTTTATTTTATTTTTCATCATTGCAGGGCAGGGAATTGGTGTGTTGAGGAGCAAGCAGGATAATTAATCTACTGCAGATAACAAATCTACAGAGATCCAGTTCCTGCAAACCCACCCCCTTCTCCCAGAAATTGCAGGTCAGAGCAGCCTAAGTGTTGTTATATGCTCAGCAGTACACAAGCATGGTTCTCAGGAATTCAGTTCCTGACAACATCAGAATCCTGATCTCCTTCCTCCATCTCTTTCAGGACCACACATTCTAACCAGAGAAGGTCAACTAGCCAAAAGGAAAGTGAGCCTATTTTGAACATTTTATATCTGTATGACCTTGAGACAGCTATTTAACCTCACTAGCATTTCTTCATCTATGTATTATTTAATCCTCATCAAACCTCATGTGGAATTAGTGACCCCCGTTAGCAGATGAAAAAACAGACTCAAAGAAGTTAATGGTTTGCCCAAGCTATCCAAATTGTCAGATTCCAAATCCTTTGTCTTTCCACACCCACACACACTGCACTACTTCCTAAATGTTAAAACACAAACAAGTCAGCCAGTGGTTGGACAGAGAGTCACGAGCCCCTCAAAGGAAAAGAACTAATGCTCCCATTTCCCCATGTCTACAGCTATAGTACCACTTAGTAGCTTGAAAAACTTAGGTGCAATTTCAAAGGCAGTTCACAGAAAGGGACATAGAAAAGAAAAAGTACTATGGCCTTCATACCTTAAATTTACAGTCCTCAACTAAGAATTCCAAACCATCAGAGGCCCTCTGATTTCCTTCCAGAATTATTCAGTCAACCACATTCTTAGATCACTATGGTGTCCAGGGAAGCTCTGAGTTAACATGATGAAGAGAAGGGAGAAGACTGGCATCTCGGCAGGGCTTTACCACAGCCCCTTGAGAAGTCGAGTAGAGGGCTTGGAGAGACCACACTGCAGCTGCTGGGGGATAACGGGAAGGAGTAGAGGCTACGTCAGAAAGTCACCAGCCCTCATCATTTCTGAACTCGATAAAGAAGTGGATTGGAAAATCTTTTTAACACCAGGTCACAAACCTAGACCACTCGGAGACTCACCTACTTGGGATGTAACCACCCTTAACTGACCTAATAGGCATTTCTCTAACTATACTCTTTTCCAACTTCGCCTAAGAAACCCAGATCCTGGAAACGCACAGCTACATATTTACGTGTCCTCTCCTGGTAAGAATAAATACCATTTTTTGTAGTCAAGTTCAGTGTTAAACCTTCCCCTACATTATCATGACTTATTGTCATAACCCTCTAGGAGATAGTAATTATCATCTGCATTTTATTGATGAGTAAAATGAGGCTCGGGGATATTAATTACCCAAATTCACCCTCCTGGCAAATAAAAATTCTAGGTACAAACCCACCTCTGTGATGATCTTCCCACTACACTAGCCTGTCTCTAATCCTCCAAGAGTCTGCTACTTAATAAATACTCCATTAGTATTGAATTAAACCAAAGGAAAGAATAAGCTTTGTAATTTTTCTGACTGTGGGATCTTCCCGATTGCACCCACTCTAGGGACTATATGACAGACAGTCCAAGCCTCAGGGGAGGGCCATCTCCGCGTGGACTGGACCCAGCACCCAAGTGAGCATCTGGCTTTCTGCTCCTCCCACTCCTCTTTGCCCCAGAATCCCAGAGCTGGAGCGCTGAGGCAATTAAGAAAGTGTCGACTGCCTGAGAAGTGGATGGGAATGGAAAGGGGACAAGAACAGCATGTGCCTGCGGGAATTTGCTCCCTAAGGTCCCTGCAGTGATTTCGTTTGTGTCTGGCTTCCTATAAACAAAAGCAGAACAATGAGAGGAAGGAATACCAGGAGGCACCAGCGCAAGCGATGTGGAGAGGAAGTTTTGTGGTGCACGCCGGCAGGGCGGTTCCCGGCCATCGGTCTGCTGCAGCTAGCCAACGGGGCATGCACACTGCTGGCACACTCAGAGCTCTTCACGGAGAAAATAAAGTTGGTGAGGGGTTTGGGTTTTTGTTGTATTTAATTTTTATCTTTTCTTTTTCCTAATAGCAAAGAGGGGAAAACTGGCTCAAAAAGCAGGCATCAATGGCTGACACTTAGGGTGCCTTTCAAAAATCTGCGCCTCTCATACTGAGTCCCTTTGCTCCCTCTCATGCTAGATGACATTAAAATCAAACTGGGGGTGAATGGGCAGGGGGGACAACCCCAGATGACGCCATCTGAATTCCAGGGGAAAGAAAGCACTGGAGAAGCTAGAAAACGTGAAGGCAGAGCTTAAGCTCTTCTGCACCGGTGATATGGGCCATCTCTGAGGGTGGCGCCTGCTGCTTCTCCCTGGGCGCCCGCCAGCCTCTCTCTCCGGCATTTGGCACCCTGTCCTCACCCTCTGCCCTCCGGAGAAGTCGAGGACCCAGAGCAGCCGTGTAGTATCCCCGATCCCCAAGGGCGAAGATGCCCTGGATTCGTTCTCTCGCTCGCCATTTCCCCTGCCAGGCTGTAACCGGGCTTCGTAAAGCACTGATTTTCCTGGCTCCCTAGGAAATTAAAGGTTCCGCATGCCCATCACTCCTCCCAGCCTTTCAGCATCATAGAGTCCCGCTCCTCTGGCCACAGAGAACCCCGAGAGGGAGCTCGAAGCTTGCGCGCCTCACTTGGGGAAGAGGAGGGAATCAAACGCATCTAAAGTTCGGAAAAGTTTCCAAGGACTGAAGATGGGGAGCAGGGGGAACTGACCAGGAGAATGGGGATAGATCACCTGTTAACGGAGGGAGGGAAAGTTAGTCTAGCCCCACCTACCCAGGGCAGCCCGCTCCCCGCCTCGCAAAGGCGAGCCTCGCCGCCGGGCCCCGCGCTCACCTTGAGCCCGCGGATCTCGCCGAGGTGCAGCTGCAGGCGGCGGTTGACCTCACGGATGAGGTTGCTGTGGTCCAGCATCGCGCTCACCTTCTCGGCTTCGGCGCGCCGCAGGCTGCGGATCAACTCCTCCTTGCTCCACTGCAGCAGCTCCTCGTCTGATACTTTGGACAGGTCCTCCACCGCAGCGGCCGCGGATGGGCCAGCAGAGGCCGGGGGACAACTTTCCGCCGCCGCCGCTGAGCTTCCGGCCGCCTTCGACATGATATCCGCGCGGTGGCAGGTGCGAGTGGGTGGAAGAGGCAAAGCGACACCCAAAGGCGCGGGCGCGGCGGGGCCGCCTCCACCCACACCCTTGTGCGCTCCGGCGAGTCAGCGGCACCGCCCAGGGGCCGCTGGGTTGGGGCGACAAGGGTCGCGCTGGGCGGCCATCCTACCTCGCCATCCCTTCGCGCGCGCCCGCGCAGCCCCAGGGCCGGGCAACCACCCGCGCGCTGCTGCTGAGGCGCGTCCCAACTCCGCACAAGTCCATGGTGAGGGGCGCTGGGGAGCTGGCGCCGCCGCGAGAGAACCTAGGGAACCGGCCGGGGCGCCGAGAGGGCCGTACCTGGGTTCCCCTGCCCTCTCCTCTGCCCTAATTCGAGACTGTCGCCACCGCACTCTGGCGCGCGCACACACGCACACTTTCCACGCCCTTGCCCAGCTGCAGCCCGCGGTTTCCGTCCTCTCCGAGCCGTGCAAGGGCACGCCGGACTCCGCGGCACCTCGGGGGGCTGCTCTAGCGCCGCCGCTGCCGCTGCTGCCCTGGGGCTCCGCGCGGCCGGCCGGCCGGCTGCGATCTTCCTGCCGCCTTCGCTGCGTCCGCCGCCGCAACTATGCTGTTCGCAGGAGCCTTGGATTTCCAGAGCAGACCTAAGGGGGGTGGGAGTGATGGCTGGACCCACAGGAGGAGGAGCCTGGAGCCGGGGCTGCCAGCAGCCGGCCGCACCTCCCGCGCCAGCCGATTGCAGCTGCGGCTCGATCGCCTCCCGGGCTCCGGAATCGCGTTCCCCGCTATCCCGCCGGGGAAGACCGGGGGCGCGGCTCTTTCAGAGCCCCGGAGCGGAGGAGGCGGAAACCGGGAGAAATGAGTAGCTGTGGCCCGCCGGACTTAGGGAGGCTCGCGCGCGCCACCACGTGGCCAAAGCAGCCCCCTCCTCCACACACCAGTTTGGTCACCAGACAAGGGAACAGCTGCCAGACTGAAATGAGAAAACCTTAGTATTTGGAGGGATTGGGGTTCAGGAAAAATGGGTAGCAGTACCTGAGGGTAACCGTCCGTTTGTACTTTTGAGAATATAAGAAGAGATCGGTTGAGAAAAAATAGGAGTGGGAGTGATGTTGGGGAAGGAAAACCCTAATGCTCTGAAAAGGAGAGACAGGCTTCAGGGCACTGCTTTTTAGCGACCATCCACCTCCAGGCCTTTGTCTTTTCTAAAAATCCACTACTTTGTTAAAAGCTTCAGGGGGAAAAACTGGATCTTTTACATTTTTGTAAAAGCCTTAAGGGAAAAATAAAATACCTTCATCTCCTACTTCTGGAGGCCCGGATTTTAAGGTCCTGTCATCTCCCTTCTGAGCAAAGCACGGCCCCTTAGGCAAGCTGAATGCCAACCAAGGAGATTTACATTTTCTTCTGTGCTGCAGGCCACCCCATATTTATTGCTTGGGCCTTTTATGATGGTAATTTCTTAAAGGGGGTACTCTGTGTCCCCTGGCTTCTATCTTTGGGCTACAAGAGTCCCCTTCCTCCTTCCTCATTCTGTCCACTAGTGAAGTCACATGGAATCGTCTCAGCTGAAAACATTTCTTTGCCTGAAGAAGTGGGCACACTTTGTCGTAGGCGTGTCATTTAGATGAATGCTCTCCCCTTCAAGATGGATAGAGGATCAGAAAACA